CTGCTCAACATAAAAAGGAAATGTATGATATAAAACAATAAAAATATTTCAAAAAATAAAAACATTACCCCTCTCTCATCCCAAAGCATTACCATTAGTTGATAATTTTTAGTTGCCTCAGGTTGCACATCTGTGGAAGAAGAGATTTAAACAGACAAATACTGTCTAGGCCTGCTTCATGAAAAGTCCACTTGAAAGGTCCCCTATGCATAAAACTATTCTCCCTAGCACATATGCCCCAGAGTAAAAAAGAAGGAAAAGTGGTTGGGTTAAAAAGAAGCATTTTTCTTCTTTTTACAGTGTCCTTGGAAGTAGATACAGTGTATCATGTAGTTTAGAGTCTGTCATATGCACCTCTATAACTGGTTTGGTTCTGCAACCCAACAGGACAGACACAGACTTCAGAGAGTAAGTATGGCTGCAGAAAAAACAGCTACTCCCAACCTGCCTGCAATCAAGGACTGTATACTGCACAAGTCAAAAAGACAGCTGTGAAAATATCTACAGACTCTTCACATTCTGGACATAAACTGTTTCAACTCCTACCCTCAAAACAATGCCATACAGCACTGCACACCAGAACAACTAGACACATGGGGAGGTTTTTCCCGAGCGCCATCATTCTGCTAAACAAATAATTCCTTCAACGCTGTCCAACTATTTACTAAATCTGCACTACTATTACTATTAATCTTCTCATCATTCCTATCGGTCATCCCCTCCCACTTTTGATGGTATGACTGTAACTTTGTTGCTTGTATCATTACGATGTATATGGACTGCTTCCTAATATGATTTGATTTTTTGTTGTACCCTATGACTATTATTAAGTGTTGTACTGATGATTCTTGACTCTTGATGAATGTATCTTTTCTTTTATGTACACTGAGACCATTTGCACCAAGACAAATTCCTTATGTGTCCAATCACACTTGGCCAATGAAATAATTGTATTCTAGCCTCAGTCACTCCATAAGAAGTTTGAGTTAAATAACCTTGCCTACTCCATGCTCATTGGATGCTTCTTCCAAGTAAAATTATTTGGGCATTCAAAAGTAGGGACCCCCAAAGAGTCAACATCCTTCCAGCAAGTTTAAAAGGATCCCAGATTCTCTTTCACAATGACAGAGAAAGAAACCAAGGCAATCTAGCAGGATATTTATTTCCCTGCTTTGCAATTCGTATTTCTTTTCCTCCCTTTGTTCCATCAATCCCCTGCTAGACTGTAGATGTGATAAAGAAACAGAATTAAAAAACGACTGATTAGAAGCAGATATAAAACTCCATTGAATCAAGTCCCAAAAATATAAGCACATCCAGGGGTAGGATTCTACTGGTTCAGTCCCATTTGGGCGAACTGGTAATTACGGCAATGATTTGACCCCACCCACCCACCTCTGCTCTATTCTGGCCTTTATTTCTGGGATTTTCAATTCAGCTGTTTAGCGTAGCACAGTGCGTTGTGGTGCCTCAGCTGATTTACTCACTGGGACTGCAGCAGTTTTAGAGCTGAAAAAGCAGTGTTTTTCGAATGTTGTGCACGCACTTACCAAACCAGTTGTTACACTGGTTGAATCTCACTCCTGAACACATCCAATAAAAAGAAGTCAGGGATGTCCCAAAATTGTGTTAAAAGCTGGCTCACCCTGTTGGTTTTCTTTTGACTTACTGTGATGACCCGGGCCGTGGCACAAAAGCAACAAAATAACAAAAGTAGGTAAAGTCCCTTTAATACCTCCAACTTGGCCCCCGATGTCCAATTATCCTTGGCTGGAGAAAAAAATTCTCCCAAGAACAGTTTTTAAAGGGAAGAAATTCCATCCAAACCCAAAGTACATATAAATTATAAATAAAAACCAACACAAACCACGCTGCAGCAATTAACAAGACAGGGCAGTATAACGAATTGCAGACTTCAAAAGATAACAAAACACACACAGTTGGGAGGACGGCAGAACTCAGATAAGACTTGACAATCCAAAATAATTCATGCTTTGCTTCCAGCAACAGAATCCCTTTTTAAACAGTTTTCCCAGCTGCAGCCAATGAATGGGATCAGGGCCCTTTCCTCCCCCGTAAGCCATGCAACTCACGTTGCTCCCTTATCTGTTCTTCCCTGCATGCCCTAGGATGAAGAGGGGATGGGCCTGGGTCTTCTTTTGAATGCCCAGCTGGATTGTGCCCTTCCCCAGTTTCCTCCACAGCCACCGGAGCCACACTCCCAGTCCTGTAAGCTGTTCCACCTCTCCCTCGGAATCAGATTCCAACAGGGGCATGACACTTACTTTCTTACTTTCTGATTTCCATTTCCTCCTCTTGAATACCCCATCCCCAAATTTTCTCCTTTCCAAATCTCCTTTCATCAGTTATGCCTCTAAATGCACCTATATGCCTCTGAATGAGTCTTCTGGAGAAAATAGGGATTCCTTCAAAGAGAGAGATGGCTCATTTCCTACCTCCCATGGTACACAAAAAGATATGATGGGAACAATTGGAGAAAATGTTAGCAGATGTTGGCTGATAACTACTGGAGCATCAATAAAAGGAAGACCTGGATTATTTCAAAGTATTTATTCCTGTCCTTACTTTAACCCTGGACATTATGAGGTCAAAGTTATGACACTGCAGGAGAGACAAGAAGCACATCAGTAATGGCTACTGAGAGCCAAGCCAGGGAGGAAAGGAAGTATCCAATCCTTCTCCTGACCACTCACCTTCCCTGATAGCCAGTCTTCCCTTTCACACAGAAGCAGGAAAAAGCCTTCCTTTGGGCATCTATTATTATTATTATTATTATTATTATTATTATTATTATTATTGTTGTTGTTGTTGTTGTTGTTGTTGTTGTTGTTGTTGTTGTTGTTGTTTACAGTTTTCCTGAATGGTCAAAATTTAGCAATCCTCACTCTGTTCCAGCTGTGCAAGAAGCTTGTAATCCCATAGCTGTCAATCTTTTCAACCGTCTTCTTTGCTGAAGCGAAGTCAAGAGTTTATATCAGGGAAGCAATATATGAATCGAACATTTCCAACTTTGGGTAGTCAGTTTTGTTATCAATGAAGGAAACATTTGAATCAGCTGGGCTAATAGAAAAAGGTGAGTGATTCTGTGTGGTTCTCTCCTTTCTCTGAAGCTGTTCCTAATCAGTGTTGGCTGGAAGGGAGAAATTGAGCCAAAACCCCTAGTTGTTTTTCTTTCTTTCTTTTTTTACAGTTCTATTGAGGTTTATTATAAAGTAAAATACAGCAAAAATAAAGATTAAAATGGGGGGGGGGATTGGAGAGAGTGCAGGATGAAAAAGAAAAACCAGGAGAGGGAAAAGCTGTTGCCTTCCAACTTTTTCCAACATAGTAAAATAATACATTTTTGATTTTAATTTATTAATAATAATAATACTTGTTAAGATTTACCTCCTTTGGAATTTCTTTCCCTCTCCTTTTGCATAGTGTGGAGAGGGAGTGCTTCTGGAAAGCACTCTTCTTTCCCCATCAACTCATCTATGGGCACCCTTTAAATCACCTCATAAGTTTCCCCCATCATTTTTGGCCCCAATGCAACTCACTGGAAGTTCCACTGATTAATTGTTCTGACTGTCAGGAAATTTCTCCTCAGTTCTAAGTTTCTTCTCTCCTTGATTAGTTTCTGCCCTTTTATTCTTCTCCTGCCTTCAGGTGCTTTGGAGAGTAGCTTGACCCCCCTCTTCTTTGTGGAAACCCCTGAGATATTGGAACCCCTGCTGTCATGTCACACCTATCATAATGGTATCTTCCAAACATACTAATGGGGAAGCCGTTTGCCCATGAGGTACCCAAATGCTTTTTAAATAATCACATACTTTCTTTTTGTCTTCTTTTCTTTATGATGTAGTTGTGTATTTAACCCAGTCTACCACTTATGACTGGATCATCAATATTTTAAATAAGTATTTCCTTAGACTAAATATGAGTGATGTGAGGAGATTCAAGGTCCCAAGAGAGGAGCATGGGAGGTTTGTCAAAAAAACCAATAAGAGTTGAAATACTAAAAAGAACAAGAGATGATGGACAGATATAGAATACTTCTTAATATGGTAATTGCTTCATTAAGGAGAAAGTAGAAATTGGGAAAATAGTATTACGTATAGTGATACATAATCAAATACATTATAATTATTATGTATACGTAAATGTTAGAAGTTGCAAAATTATTAATATGTATACCTAAACAGTATTAGTATTGGTTTTAGTATTGTGTATAAAGTACATTGATCCAGACAATACACTATTCACTAAGGACTTACAGATGTTAAAGAAAAAAACTATAAATAAAATTATAATAATAATAAAAAATAAGTATTTCAAAATCTATTAGTCTGACTGTTGGAGGATTTCCTAAGGGTAATCCAGAGCTTCTCTTGGACTTACTATTCTGCCATACATCACTCTTCAGTCCCCATCCTCTGCAGTTGGAACCTTTCATTGAGTGGCAATTCTAATACGTTGATAGTAAACCCTGTTAGGGATACACCCTAGCAGAATCTGCACGGCAGGCAGGCAGGCAGGCAAAATATGTGAGATAACTGTTTTTGTAGCTTACACTCAGTAAAACAGATACACAGTGCTAGTTAAATAGTTTATTCCAGTAAGAGTTATAGCATAGTCAAACAGTCCATATATCATTCACTAATTCAGTCCGTCCGGGGGATTATTCAGTTGCAAATTCCAGTGTTGAAAAAGAGAGGTCAGTAAACTTACAAATATCAGTCCAGGAATATATCTCCTTGCAGTAGAGATATGAAGAAGTCAAAACTCCTCTCTTCCTCCAGCAACTCAGCAGTAGGGAAACATGCAGTTAACAAACCATCAATCCATCAAACTAGTCAATCATCAGGAATCGTCAGGTTCTCTTGCTCCCTCTTATGGTGGTTCACAACCGCACCCAAAATTACATGCTTTGCAGTTTAAAGTGATACATACTTAAACTTACTGTCATAGTTTATATATATTATTTTACCCAAACTACGTTAGGTAACCTTTTTATTCCTAACAAACCCAACACTGTGAAACACTAAAAGAATAAAAAGAACAAAATGAGAAAATGAACACATCTTTAACATCACGTTTTCTTTCCATTCAAGGAACTGGACATCACTGGAGATAAATGGAAGCCTTGATGGTGAGTTATTGTTGCTGACAACATGTACATTGTGACCAATCACAGCATTAGATAACCAATTATTAATTGACAAAAACTTCATGTCATGAGCCCTCAGAAATGTCACCCTATTATAAATAAGCTTTAAAGACAAATAAAAAATGTGGTTTATCCTATCATTTGTTAGATATTATTATTTCTTACTATATTTTCTCTGCAATTCAGATCTGGCCTCAGTAGGATAATGTAGCACTTGGGGAAAAAGATACAAGCCAAGAGACCAGTCCCAGAGGCCAAAATGGAGAACATCTCCACAGTCACCATGGACCTCCCTTTGGTGCTCAGATAGGTAGGGAGGAAAGTGATCCAAACACTGCAAAAGACCAGCATGCTAAAAGTAATGAATATGACTTCGTTGAAGCTGTCGGGCAATTTCCTAGCTAGAAATGCAGCCATGAAATTGATGGGGGCCAAAAAACCCAGATAGGCAAGGACAGAGTAAAACGTTAAAGCTGAGCCTTCCTTACATTCCAAAAAGGCTTCATCTACCAAGGAGTGGAAGTCCATGTTAGGAAATGGAGGAGAGGTTCCCAGCCAGGTGGTACAAATAATTGCTTGTACCAGGGTACAGTCTATGACAACGGAGTTGGTCAGTGGTTTTTCTAAGAGTTTCCTTGCCCTGTTCCCTGGCTTGGTGGCCATGAAGGCCAGAACCACCATGACATTCTTTGCCAACACAGAGGAAACTGCAAGGGCAAAGAGAGTGGCAAAGGCAGATTGTTAGAAGAGACAGGTAAGCTTCCCTGGTTGACCAATGAAGAGGAAGGAGCAGAGGAAGCAGAGCAGGAGGAAGACCAGGAGGATGTAAGTGAGATCTCGGTTGTTGGCCTTGACAATTGGTGTGTCATGATGTTTAAGAAAAATCACGAGAATTGCAGATGTCATGAAAGAGAGAAGAAGAATGAGAAAAACTAAAGCATATCCCAGGGTCTCTTGATAGGAAAGGAAGTGGAGCTTCTTTGCAATGAAGTGATCCTTGTCCTTGTTGGGGTATTGGTCTGCTGGGCAAGGGTCACAGTGAGATGCATCTAAAATCAAAAGTCTTTGTCTAACTTTTCTAGTTACATTTCCCATGAGGACGATTTCTGTCTCCTGCAGAGTGTCTCAGATGTGATTCCTTTCTGCAGGGGAGAACTCAAAAATAATGTAATAGAACATCTTATGACCCACCAGAAAGGACACATTTTCTTTGAAAATTTAAGATGAGCCAGGGATGAATTGATCATGTAGAGGAATCTGTTCCTCTACATGATCAATTCATCCCCGGCTCATCTTAAATGTCAACTCATAAAACATTCCCATGTCTGTTTTTGAGTTTCCATAAACAAGAGGGGGAGAAATGTGAAGGAACAGCATGGCAGTTTAAAAGCAGAAGTACATTCCACCCTTATCTTACAAAGATTGTAACTAGGCTTCTGGATCTTCTGTCCCTGAAAATCCTTCATTGGAGAACGTGATTGATGACACGCAGCCCATGAATGTGCTTCATTGGAGAATCTGATTTATGATACACCCGGGGGGAGGGGGAAAACAGGGACACAGGTGACTGTAAATTATGTATGCCAGAGTTGGCTTCATTTAGGTTAATGCCGACATGTTGCTCCTAATAAAATTTTGAATTCTTTTGAAACTTGGCTCAAGGCCTATGATTTAATTTGGGCAATCACTGGAACTCTGACAATTCCATTGGCTTTATAAATTGACTATTGAGATTAGGATTAAAGGGGTTCATTTTTTACTGGAATACCAATAGATATGCCAGCCTCAAATCCTGCTATTTGATTATTTTCTATGTCAGTTTTTCCCAATATCAGCCCTTTCAGATGTCTGAACTTCAACTCCTGGAATGCTGGCTGGGGAATTTTGAGAGTTGAGGTCCACACATCTGAAATTCACACATTTGAAACCCAAAATATATTATCTGTTGGTATTTGCTGAAAAGACCACAGCAATATTTTTTCCATCACTCAGTTAGATTTTTCATTTGCAGGTATTAAAGAATTGTTTTTCCCAAAAATCTATCAATTTCTCTAGGTGGTTCCTAGTACTAAAAGAAAAAAATAGCATATCACAAATAACCCAAATTCAGACTTGAGCCCCCAACCACAGTAAGCCACTCATTCAGGATAGCAATCAGGAGGAAATTTCCCATTGGTTCCTGATATTGAATGAGAGTGGCATGGAAACCAGGGACCAATCAATTCTTGCCTTGGAACTATTGTGTATTCAGTGGTATGAAGACAGGACTGCCCAATCCATATTCCTCAAAGACTGAGGAAAATTGAAACTGTAAGGGCAGGACAATTTAAGTCAATATCCTGAAGATTTCTTCTGAAAACATTGACTACAGGGAACATATCCAACTTGCTCAAAATGACAAGCAAAGCTTAATGTTACAATTAAGTGAACATCTGAAGGAAACATCTGAACATTGCCATTTTATTTTATTTTATTTACCATATTTATATAGTTGTCCGTCTTAAAAGAAAGTGTTTCTGGGTGGTGTGCAACACTTAATTAGAAAAGAAATAAATACATACAAAAATGCTTAATAATGATTCTCATTATTGCAAATTATAAACACTGTACACATGAAACAAGAGGCAAAGGTTAGTCTCAGTAAGGAAATTATCATAGGTTCTTAGTTTTTTTGTCCCAGGAACAATGGAAGGAAATTCTCCCAAATTTGCTCTACCTGTCTGATTAGAAATGGTCTGTTCTGAATATGGAACACATTGGTAGCAGCAAACCTGTTCACCCTCTGGAACCATTTTCCTCTTTCCTGCGTGGCCACACCTGGCAAAGGGCACCTTCTAAGAGAGAAAAGCGAAATGCCTGAGATGGCCTAAGCAATGAACATGCTTCATGTACACATTTTGATATTCTTTTTTCCAGCCTTGGAATGATTTTTTAAAAAAATGTTAACCAGGATTTACAAAAAAAACAAGGATAACTCTTGGGAGATTCAAACTAGTATAACTTCCAACCCACCAAGGATTGCTAGAGACTAGAACTGGGACCTCAGCGTATGAAAAAAAAGCTTCTCACGTTGAGCTGATTTTCCTATAACAAAGTATAATGAGGATCAAACTGAACTTGAATGGTTTTCAAATACACAGATCAAATACACAAATGCCTTAAAGTCAAAATAAAAGTTTCCAATTCCTGCATATATCAGAGATTCTTGTGACTCATTATATTCTCCCTACAATTCAGATTGGGCCTAAGTAGAATAATGTAGCATTTAGGGAAAAAGATACAAGCCAAGAGAGCAGCTCCAGAGGCCAAAATGGAGAAGATCTCCACAGCCACCATGGATTTCCCTTTGGTGCTCAGATAGGTAGGGAGGAAGGTGATCCAAACACTGCAAAAGACCAGCATACTAAAAGTAATGAACTTGGCTTCATTAAAGCTGTCAGGCAATTTCCTAGCTAGAAATGCAACTGTAAAACTGATGAGGGCCAAAAAAGCAAGATAACCGAGGACAGAATAAAACATTGAAACTGAGCCTTCATTACATTCCAAGATGATCTCTCCTACTAAGGAGTGGAAGTCCAAGTTAGGAAATGGAGGAGAAATTGCCAGCCAGGAGGCACAAAGAAGGGCTTGGATCAGGGGACAGGCTATGACAATGGAGTTGGCCAATGGTTTTCCTAAGAGTTTCCTTGTCTTGTTCCCAGGATTGGTGGCCATGAAGGCCAGAACCACTATGACAGTTTTTGCCAAGACAGAGGAAACCACAAGGGAAAAGAGAATGGCAAAGGCAGTTTGTTGGAAAAGACAGGTGATTGTCCCTGGCTGACCAATGAACAGGAAGGAGGAGAGGAAGCAGAGCAGGAGGGAGACCAGGAGTATGTAGGTGAGATCTCTGTTGTTGGCCTTGACAATTGGTGTATCATTATGCTTGAGGAAAATCACCAGAACTGCAGTCGTGATTACAGAAAGAAAAAGCGCAAGAGAAATGAAAGTGTGTCCCAGAGTCTCTTGATAGGCAAGGAAGTGGATCCTCTTGGCAATGCACTGACTGTTGTCCTTGTTTGGGTACTGGTCTTCTGGGCAGGCATTACAATGAGCTGCATCTGAAATCAAAAGGCTTTGTCTCACTTTTTTGATTCCATCTCCCATGAGCAAAATGTCCCTCTCTTAATGTGTCTTATATGTAACTTCTTTCTGCAGGGGCCAACTCAAAAAAAAATGATAGAAGACCCAGGGTGTAGCTTACAGTGTACCAGAAAGTACAGATTTTTTAATATCAAAGACTAGCCGATAACCTGGTGTTGCCCGGGTATTTATTTATCCTAATCCTGGATTACACAGGAAAAGCCCTGATTTCAGTGACCTGGAACAAACATAATTTTCCCTGTTACCAGAGAGAGCCCCCTTGTGGAGTAGTGAAGCTGTTACCATAGCAACTGGACAATCACCGTACAGTAGAAGCCATTTTAAGGCAGTACGGTAGAAGTCATTTGAAGGCACAACAGGCTATATCTTAAGAACACACACACTCTGGGGTGATACCCCAACAGTATTTGTTTCCAGAGAGTAAGTAATCTGTGTACCAAGTTTGATTGAAATTGCTTGAGACATTCCAGAGTTATGCTGGAAGAAACACTCACACATCCTTTTTATATATCTATAGAAGAAAGAAAGAAAAGAAGATGAACCAGAGGATAAGTTTTTCATAGATAGGATCTGTTGAGTTCCAATGAAGTGTGTTACAAGTTGGCTATTAAGATGAGACATTTTCACTTTATATTGGAATATCAATATATCTGTCAGTTACAAATCCTGCTTTTTGATTTTTACCCACATCAGTTTTTCTCAATTTCAGCAACTTTCAGACATCTGGACTTTGACTCCCAGAATCTATGTTGGCTGGGGAATTCTGGGAGTTGAAGTCTACATATTTTGAAATTCACTGAAGCTGAGAAAGACTGAAATATATTATCTGTTGGTGTTTGCTAAGAAGATCCCATACATGACATAAATGTTGAATGGGAGGTAAGTGAGAGAAGCTACCCTTAGTCTGATTAAAAGAGAATCTTGGGTTTTTGGAGGGGTAAAGGAAAGTAAGGTCCAGAGGCACAATATATAGTAAATGAGAGTTGTGTAGATTGAATTATGTGCCCTATATTTCAAATAAGAGTTTTCCATCACTTAAATCAGATTTTTCTTTTGTGGTTGTTTCCTAGTATGATTTGATTGTTGATTGTACCCTATGACTATCATTAGGTGTTGTACATTATGATTCTTGATTCTTAACGAATGTACCTTTTCTTTATGTATACTGAGAGTATTTACACCAAGACAAATTCCTTGTGTGTCCAATCACACTTGGCCAATAAAGTATTCTACATGGAAGGGTTAGCAGACAGAGAAAGATTGATCTTTTTATTCTCTCAAAGCTCTATCAATTTCTCTAGGAGGTCCCTAGTACTGAAAGAAGAAATAACAAATCATAAATAACACACATTAAGACTTGAGCCCCCAACTACAGTAAGCCGTTCATTCTAAATAGTGATTGAAGGTGTTTTTCTATTGGTACTTCACAATGGATGCGAGGGGAACAGAGAGCAGGGACTGTCCAATTCCTGCCCTGGAACTATTGTGTCCTTAGTGGTGTGAGAACAGGACAACCAAATCCTTGTTCCTCAAGAGTAGGGAATCTAGACTGTGGAGTCATGACAATTTTCAGGAAAAAAATGGTTATTAGTAACATGTCACACCTACCAAAAATGATAAAATTTAACCTTTTGATTAAGTGAACAACTTCTTTGACTTGGGAAGATCTACACTGGAAGAGAGAACCTGAAGTTTGACTACTTTTTCAGTATTTTATATTTATAATTTTTATATTTTTTTTATTGTATGTTTTTAATTGTATCATTGTATTATATCATATTGTATTTATCATATTTGTATAAAGGAACATTTCATAAGACAGCGACTCTGAGCAGTATGTTAGAGTTAAAGAACAAATAAATATATACAAAAATGTTTAATAATAGTATTATCACTTAGACTTACATACCGCTTCACAGAGCTTTACAGCCCTCTCTAAGCAGTTTACAGAGTCAGCATATTTCCCCCAACAATCTGGGTCCTCATTTTACCCACCTTGGAAGGATGGAAGGATGGGTCAACCTTAAGCAGGTCAAGATCGAACTGCTGGCAGTGAGCAGTGAGTTAGCCTGCAATACTGCATTCTGACCACTGCACCAACATCTATCTTCCTTCCTTCCTTCCTTCCTTCCTTCCTTCCTTCCTTCCTTCCTTCC